AGGTGGTAGAGATGAAGTAATGAGAATACGTTGAGTAAAGTTCATTTAACAAGGGAAGGTTTTTTTTTGTGAAAATGTTTCAGGGCCGCTGAAAAGGATTTTTAACGTCTAAAGATATGTTAGGATTAATCGCAGATAAAAACTGCGTCAGATGGATTAACATAAGCTTGTTTGTGAGGAAGCCCATTTTGGTTCCTATCATCCAACGTCCTTTCTCACCCTCAGCTGTGTTTTTTTACCTATGGGTAATGACGACGAACAGTTTTAAATCTATTCAGTTAAAATGCTCTTTCTGTTCGACTAATGATCAACGAAACAAGAAAGAAATGGAAAAAAACTTACCTTTGTTGTTTGTGTTTTTTTTGTTGATTAAATAAATACACTTGATGCCAAGATTCATTTTGGAAGAGTGAATGAATGAAAGTCTTATTGTGTTTATTAGGAAAAAAAGTGTGTTAGCTGCTGTATATTGCATGTAGTTGTGAAATTTCTTTTACCAATAAATAAAGCTGGACAACCAGAAGCAGCGGCTGACTTAGGCAAAAAGAGTTCTTGTTATTATTTTTATGAGAAAGTATGAAAGAAATTAAACTGATTTTAGCGTTCCTAGCGCATTGCTTGTTGGCTAGGTAAGTCTCTTAAAGCGTAATTTTATCTTATCGCATGACCAGCTAACTCTGCTGCCCTAAGAAAATTTTGTAATGATTGTTCATCATCTTGTTTTGCCTACAAATCCTAAACGACTGTCGTATAGTGTCATGGGACATCTTAAGTTGGAGAGAAAAGTCTAATTAACGTTTTAAGATGTTTCTCAGCCCTACAACATGTATCTTTGAGAAGTTTTACAAGATTCGAAAAAATTAAAAACTAGTGTCCGATGTTTAGGTTACAGCGTCGTAACGATATATGTTGCAAGTACGATATAAGTTGAAAAATGTCTTAACGTGTTAACCACACTTTTCTCTTCAACTTAAGATGTTCCGCGACACTATGCGACAATCATTTTAGAAATTGAAAGGAAAACAAAATGATGAACAACAGTTACAAAATTCTGCTGCGGTAGCAGAATCAGCTGGCCACGCCGCTGACCCAGTCAGTCACTTATATCTTTTGAAATTTCTTTTAACGCGAGATTAGTTTAAAACATCGCGCGAAACTCTGTTTACGAAAAATGTACCGCGAGAAAGTCGTTTAAAAAAAGCGCGAGAATCGCGTTTGCGGTAATCATAGGTTGCGTTAAATGAGCTAAATTTTTCGTAAACAGAGTTTCGCGCTGTACTTTGAAGCTAAACTCACGTTTTTTCGCGGTTCTTGAGCCAATCTGTATTGATGGTATAGCCGCAGTAAATGAAATTGATATAGAAAAAACGCATAGCCCCCATAGTATATCTGACATAGCTAAAGGCTAAGTTCGCGAAACAACTTTTTACGAGGAAGTCAATGGCAGTATCAGAAATTGTTGAAAATGTTCCTATTTCCTAAGTACCGATTTTTGACTGAGAATATGTGTGACTCGCAAGAGCTGCGTGATGCGTCTAAAAAAAAACGACAGAAACGAATGTAACTTCATTCGAACGTGGGAATCAGTGTACTGTACTTTCTTCGAAAACAAAAATCGCAATTCCTGCAAGAGCATAACGAATTTATTGCGTTTTAGTACTTGATGAGGGTGAAAACGAAATCTTCTTTTTACAAACGAATGAGAAATTAAAGTTATTCAAAATCGAAACGCAACTTTCTACAAGTGTAGAACACGAAACGCGACACACAGTGAAAATTCGCGTTCAAAACGCGTTAAATTCGTTTCAATTGAGTCCTGAACACGAAAAATTCGGTGCCGTTCGTGAGTCGTAAAGTCTGTTGCGGCTGAAAACGCGTTTTTAAAAAGTTATGATGGTCATAAACGCCTTTCTCGCGAAATATTAGATGGCAAAAACGAGGTTTTGAGCAAGGCGTATATTTAAAGCTCAAGAAATGCGCCGTATTCATGGTGAAACTGTATATTCTCGCGCTCTATGAATGCTACAACGGCGTTAAAACGAATTTTCAAAAGATATAGGTGACTGACTGGGTATTGATTCAGTTATCTCACTAAAATATTTAATTTCAGAAGATGTCATTGCCAACAGCAGGCAACAAGTAGGCAGCGCAAAGATGAATCGACCTCGTTTTTCAAAGCTGAAATCTCTTTCTGTATGTCGTAGTGTTGGCTACTTGTAATCCGGTTGCTTGCAATTCAAAATCAACGGCCTGTTCAACCAATGTCGATTGTGAATGTTTTTCGCTGACAAGCAGCGTGAATGCAACTGATGGCATCTGTGCTGTAGCTGATCTTTCATGTTCAAGTGCTGTACAATGTAATTCAGATAATGTTACATGTTCAATAGCAAATACCATATGTGTCAATAGTACACGATGTCAAAAACCGGTCTGTTATCCACTACCTTTAGCTGACATACAAATATGTCCTGTACCAATAACAACAAAAGGTATTTGTGTGACCAGTTGGTCAAAAACATAGAGCGGTTGGTTAAACAGCCACATTCCATTTTTCTTTTTAACATATATACGAAAGAGAGTAGAACAAAAACAATGCGATATAGATATCGAAACGCTCCCTCCTCTTGCTTTTTTCTTTCTTTCTGTACATTTGGAAAATTCAATTTTCTAAATGCAAATCATACATACGGAGATTTTATCAGCTGATTGATTGATCAATTGATTTATGCTTTAGTAGCCACAGTTTGTTGTTTGATAGTAGAAAAAAGTGAACTCAAATGGACCTGTTTAGATAAACAGAGAGAAAAGCACGCTACTGGGAAGGCAAAAAAAGTTCTGAGAACTTATAAACTTTGTCACCTTATTTTAAAACGATTAAGCCTTGTTTTAAACGTCTTTGTTGTGGGTAATAGGTAGAACGGTTTCTGTTCTAGCAAAGGGTATTTCTACTGTTCTCGAATGATTAAGACGGATTGGTGTTCCAGATTGGTCGTATTGAATGAGGTTTAGTCCAGATGAAGGAGATGACTTTGAAAAAATGTATCAGACGAAAGTATTTTGGTCTTACTTGAGGTACAGACAGATTCAGTCTTCTGATTAATTTCTGAGAGGAAGAGAAAAATTACGAGTAACCATATGGGCTGCTAGATGTTGAACGGACTCAAGACGAGGCACGTGAGTGGTGAAAGTGGTGTCATATAAAGGCACGGGCATAATCAACTTTACTGAGGATACAATTCTTGTAGACTTGAAGATGGATATGAGCGGGTACTTGTTTAAACTGTCTGTACATAGCTCTAAGTCGCTACCAACAGATTCGTACAAGATTTTCTATAGAACGCGCCATTACAGTTTACAACTTATTTCGAGCCCTCGTACGATAAGTTTTTCGTCGAGGTTTAGATTAGAGCCATATGGTAGGGTAAATTTGAAATTATTTACTTTATCAGGGCTATTGGAAACGAACATCCACGTGCATTTTGACGAGTTTAGAGTCATAAGATTGGAGCTGCACCAGCCGCTGATGTTGTTTGTGCTACTCTGCTAGAATGGAGATAGACTTGTCGCCGTTATAGGACAGATGAAGCTACAATCGGCCAAGAGGATAGTATTAACCGGTAGTTCTACAACGGTGGGAAGGTCATTAATGAATATTAGGAATAGCAGAGCACCAAGGATGGAGCCCTGTAGTACTCCTGATATTACAGGGGTTGGTACAGACAGTTTAGAGCGGAACCTTACTTACTGGAAACGGTTCGAAAGATAGTTCGTAAACCATTGTAGCGCTGTTTGGTACAGGTCTAACGCTGACAAACGAGAAATGGTCAAGTGATAGGGAACTTTGCCAAAGGCTTTTCTCCATATCGAGTGTGGCTAGGAGAGTGTCTACCGGTAGTTGTTTATTAAGAGTGTTTGTCAAGTTATGTAACAAATATAATAAAGCATCAATTGTCGATGGTTTTGGCAAAAAGCCAAACTAATTATTGAAAAAGAATTTATTTACGCTCAAATAGATAAACAATTAATCGTAAATAAATCTTTCCAATAGTTTACTCACTACGGACAAGAGAGAAATTGGTGTTTAGTTAGACACAACACATTCTGAGCTTTTTTATGAGTGGGGTTAAAGAACGCTCACGTCCACTTTGATGGAAAACTTCATTTTCAACTGATAACTTGAAAATATGATGCGATTGGTGTGCAAAAATTGCAACGTTCGTTTTTAGCACAACCACCGGGATTTCGTCCGGGCCCAAGCGATGCTATTAAGCAGGTGGTTAATAGCTAAAATTATTGCCTCTTCGGAGGACAAAATGTGGCGATCGTTCTAATGCTGGACAGTTTCAAATTACCGAAGTGTCGTAGTCGAAAGGATAAAAAATATTATCAATGAGAGATTTATGTCGTGCGGTAAAGGTAGAAAATACGAGAATTAACTGGAATCGGTTAATATAAGATTGATTTGTGAGCTCTTATCGCCCCCCTTCCTTTGTTGAAAAACGTTTTAGCCTGATAAAAACACGCTGTGTCAATGTTTTATGAAAACTTTTATCTCAAAAGTACGCATTTTGTCTGTAGATCATAACATGGTACAATTTATTTTTCCTAAAACCACTTCCATCGTTCGGATCATACAAAATACAAGACATATAGCGTAAGACTCTATCATATGTGTATGTAGTCTTCCTGCCTATGTATCTTCTCTCTTACGAGAGATCCTCGCGAATTCATTAAAAGCGTTTCCAAGGATATTTTGTCTATAGATAGGGGATAGTATTCTGATGAAAAGGCTCACGGGATTTGTGCCCATGGATTTTTCGTGAAAAGTTACAAGATTTTAAGTTTTATGGCTTCGTGGTTTTTCTACAAACACATAACTGTTCAGATTTATTTATCTCAGCAACGATAGTATCAAATGTTTGAAATTTTCTACGTTAGTAGTACTAGTCAACTGCTAATTATAGAAAAGTATTCAAATTAACAGCTTGTACCTACAATGAGTTATTGAACTTTTACCTAAAACGTCTAAAAAGCTCGCAGGCTCAAAAAAGTAATGTTTGTTATTCAAACAAATAGTTCAATTTATGTCTAACTGTTACATGATTGGATACTACTAGGAGACAAGAACATCAGGCAAATATTTTCAATTTCTGTCATTTGTCTTTTCAAAACTGTAAACATTTAAATTTATAACTCACCTGATATTGTGCATAAATATAATTTATATTTTAATTGTTTTAAGCTTTTTGACTTCGTGGTTTTTCTATAAACAAATAATTATTCACATTTATTTATCGCAACAACAGTAGCAGCGGAATTTTATTGTATAAATGTGAATAATTATGTGTTTCTAGAAAAGCCACGACGCATGAGAAATACAAATTTGCAAACAGATCTGATCGAGTTCACCTCACCTTTGACGAACATATAGTAGACGTTCTATTAAAAGCCAATGTTAGGTTACACCACACTGCGAATGCAGATTTTCATTTAGAAAAGCTGAGTTCGTAATTTGCCATTTTCGTGTTCGACATCATGTCAGTGAAATAGATTTAATTTTTTCCTATTCTTTTCTTAATATTTCCTTTTATATTAATACTAGAGGAGTTCACAAAAAAAATTTTGAGCCAGAATGTTTAAAGAGACTGCAATATTCGATAATTAGTGTTATTATGATAATATTATTTTTATTAATTGGGAAAGAGTCAGATTAGGAGTACTATCATTTTATGGTAATTCCGCAGTTCGACAGAAACACTTGTCGACAGCGTGTTTCAGCACTGTCGAATTTTTAGAGAGTAATGACGTAAAAGCGCAGGGGGGCGGGCGGCATGAGACTGAGTCGCCAGACTGCGTTCAGTGTCCAGCCACTAAGCTCCGAAGATTATTGATGGCATTTTTCCTAGAGACATAGTGAAATGGTGACGTAAAGAAGTAGGGATTGTCTATGCCTCTACGTGTTTACGCTTTTGCTTCTCTAGTAGAAAAATGAAGCGAAAAATCTGTCGATTTCTAGTCTGTTTGAAAACTTTCGCACGAAATTCGACAAGCTTTCGACACTGCCGAATTTCGAGCAAAAAATCCGATAGTGTCGAAAGCTGTCTGTCGAAAAGTAGAACGATGACAAATTCTTTTTCCATTATTGAGTCGGTATTAGCATGAAAATAAGCTTCTTGATAACTTATTATATGTTAATTCTCAAAAATCAGTTGTATTTTGATTTCTTTGATGGTTTATTCTTAATGATTCACAACTTTTATCAATGACAAAGCTGAGCGATTCGACAAAACAAGGAGCAGTGGTTAGTTACACAGAGTAAACAACTGACTAACTTTTAATCTAACATGGTGATTTTTTAGCACAAATAGATTTCAATGAGTTGTGAAAACGTTCTGCTGAAAGTGGTCTTTCATCTTCTGCTTGTTGAGAAATGTCGTATTTTGAGAAGCTCTCCAAAAAGCACTATAACTTCTTAGTTAAGCTCTTTCTGCAGTTGGAAGACGTCTCGTTTTGAAGACAACAGTTTAAACTGCCTTATTCTGCAGTTTGGAAAATTTTCTCTTATTTGTAAAGGCTGAACATATTTTCGAGTAAAAGGGTAAAGCTTGAAACACTTACCAAGTTGTTGTACTTAAGAGACGATCCTTGATGGAATTAAAATAGTTAAAGAAGTCCATAATATGCAAAAAAATTATTATTTTCTCTAATTATGTTTATTCGATTCTCCACCCAAGGTTTACCTTAAATCCAAGTTTTTAGACTTCAGAAACATTTGTCTCGAGTTATAAATGTTTTAAAAGTGAAAAAACAATGAAATTTTCTAGATTAAAAACCCTTGTTTGTTTGACTAAATTTTTTCTGCTCGTACTTATTATCTGGCTAAGAACGAATAGTCTGTCTTAAAATGAACTATGGCATATTGATTCAGAACCTCTAGCAGCGTGCCGAAAAATCGTGTACAAGTGGTACTATAACCAGTAGTGCGCATTAAAAGGTGTTGTAGTCATCGTTTTTAAAAAAGTAATGTCTTCTCACTAAATGATTGATTATATTGCTCCAGGTACTGTCATTCGTCAATACTGTTTGAATGCCACTGTTTGGTATTTTTTGGAGTTAACGTTTTCTGATCGATTTGTGAACTGTGGAAGAAACATCTCGCTAAATCATTGCCAAAAGCAGGGAGAAAACGGCCAATTTGCGCATGTTCACACTCGTATAGGACCTTGAATATAGGCCCCTTCACGCGGAAAAGCGACATATTTACGCGACATGGATAACTGGCAAATTTTTTAAAGGTTAACACGTGTGCAGGAGCGTAATGGTGGGAGATTAGATTTTCAAAAGCGACATTGAAATTTCATAAGTTTTTCTCTATCTTTAACTTAAAAAATGTTTGTTTCTCTTCCTTTACACCCCAGAATGCATGTTATTTTTCGTTCCAACATCAGTTTTATGATCTAGATAGCATCTAGATCGAAAATGTTACAATATGAAACGCTTTTCGGTATTTGAGAGTTCAAAAACTCTTTTGAAAACTCTCTCGATAGGTAGCCTGGAGAATCCAGGTTTTGTATTTGTATTGTAAAGTAATGTTTCGAAAACCATTCCGAAATTTTCGAAAATACTCTACTTCTTTACAGCGATTTCCATGAAGATCGTTAGTAAGCTCGCACTTTGATATTTGAAATCAGCACTATTGGTTACATATGTTTACACATCTTCGACCGTCACTGCAACCATATGTTATTGTCATTATCTGTTTCTGATTAAATCAAAGATTTTACTTTTTTGATTATTTAAGTGGCGACCGTAGTGTCGATTTCAAATATGAGAGTAAGAGCTTATCAGCGACCTTTGTGGAAATTTCAAGGTCCGCCAATAGTTTTCTGTGAACTATAAATTATGTATATGTGGAAGCCAGTCATGCAAAAAAGTTGAGGCACACATAAGGATCTTTCGTCGTGAGGGTGGTGTTGTTGGTTTTGGCATGTTGTGCATCAGAGAGAAGTATATCAACGTGTTTTTTTGAAGCGTGAGAAGGGTGAATTTTTTAGCTTTTGTTTATTTTAGTATCGACAACAACAACTGTAACTACAACGACCACAGCAAATGTTTGCCTCGATCGCAATGCGTTAGTAACAGTCCTGGATACATTCAGTCTATCAGCTCCTCAGAATTACGTGTTTCGTTCCTATGTGTACAATGCAACCGCCGGGCGTACATTGGGAACACTAACTTTCAGCTTAAGAAACGATCCCGCCTACTGGTCTTTGGATGATGTTTCAGTAAAATCAGTTTCAAGTTCAGCAGAACTGTTAACAAATGGCGGTTTCGAATCAGGCTCATTGACCCCCTGGATATATTGTAGTCCAGTAACTGGCTCAATCTCGAGCCAGATCGCATCGGGCAATCAACATAGTGGTACATACTATTACAAGGACGGTTCAAGTGGTTCTTACGATTATCTCTCTCAGAAATTCACGATGATCAGTGGTAGTCAGTATGTCATCAGCTTTTGGTTGGCATCTCGTTTTGGTGGTACTGTATACACGAGTGGAACGGTACTAGCACAAGTGGCATTACAATTTTGAAACTTTTCCTTAAACCAAACTTTTTTCATTCATACGGCCTTCTACTAAAATCCTCAACGCTTCAAAATAATTTGCAGGCACATAGCGCATATTCTTTATTCAAAAGCAACAGTATGACAATTATTATATAAAGCATGGGATTGAGTTACTTTTTACAAGAACTTTCATTGGAGCGTTTTTTTTTAATAAAAGTACCGGCACTTTCATTAAAAGTTTTAATGAACTTCCTTTTAATAGAAGTTTTTGTAATGAAACTCCGATATCCCAAAGCATGGGATAATGGGAGAACACATAGCTGGATACTCCACCTTTAACTTTTTCTTTTTACGTATTGTACTCTGTTTTCATGCGAAACGCATATATTAATAGGCTTGAGTACCGATGCTTTTCGTTTATTTACAGAAAACGAAAACCATCATATGATTTTCAATGATAGATATTGAGGGGTACAAGAACTATAACCAACTGATTTTTAGAAACACACATCAACTGGGTTCTAACCGTCATGGTTTCAACATGCGTGTAAAAAGAAACTTGGTAATAAAACCGTACGATCACTCTCCATAATTGCTTTAATCTGACACAAAAGATTGAAAATCATCAGCTACGCAATGAAGAGATGTAGCGACAAAAGGTCCATTCATAACCTTCCAGATTTCAACCTAATTAAAAATTTGATTATAATTGTAGCTTAGCATTTGCTGATGACTTTATACAAATACTAGAAGCACTGAACGTGCATGAGACCATCCACTATGGACGTTAGTAAAAGTGCAGACAGTGCATCTACAGGATTATCTGCTTTTGGATCCTTCCTGTGGGTATGCCGCACAAATTACCTGTCTTTTAGGATTTTGTTTACTGTGGAAAGAATGCGTAGGAAAAGTATGTTAGGGGAATGTCAGTTTGAAATTGAGAGGTTTAGGTTTCCGAGGACAATTTGATAATAGACAGTTACAGAGTAGAGATCCTCATACATAGACCTATATACTGGAAAGAATCACTGTGAAACACAGCGTCTAATTGTTTGATGAAATGCATGAAACGGTATAAACATCTTTCATATATTATTAGCAAGCAACAACTCAGTCAAAGCGAAAATGTTGGAGAAAGAAAAAAAGGGTTCTGATGTTCTCCTCTTTTCCATTCTTGTTTCACCTTTACGAACACACTTCGCGAATACAGTTTATAAAGACAGAATCGATCTAAGTGTAGAAATACTCTTGGTAATGTCGTACAGAAATAATGAATTTGTTAGATGATTTTTGTAAATAATAAGTAAATACCATCAAATGAATGATAAATTAATAAATATACCGCGAACGGTGTTTGAATTTCGATTTTTACCCAGTGGTTTTTCTCACATTCGCACAGTGTCTGCCAAGGATCTTCTGAAGAAGAGAAAAGGTCTACTGCGCACATTCTGTTGAAATTTCTCTGCAATTTTTAACTCTTTTACTTCCTCTATGTGGTTCTTCTAGATCGCTACCAAAGAAGGAAGATGATACATGAAATTGCTTGCTAAAAGATTCAAAGCCGTCGGTAAATCTACAGTCTCGTTTCCTTGAGAAAATAGTCGTCAGATAGTGTGTTTCTATATATTTTCTAGCCCAACTGATCGATTTTCTTAAGGAAAAGACTGTTCGTGACAAAGGTTGGTCCGAATATCCTGGTTTAAACACAGGTGAAGTCTTTCAAAGACGATTCAAAGCATTTGTTGCGAAAGGTACATTAAAATTCTTCAATAACGTTTGGGTTTTAACGGTTTTATCTGCACTTCTTCTCTTTGTGTGTTTAGGGCTTGGTTCTAAGGATAATTATGATGACTACGTGGAGAAGATACATATACATATATTATTGAACGAAATGATGACGAAGATACTGAATTAAAAATACGAATGCCAATCAGAAAATCATCGAAGAACAACAAAAAAATGATGAGCCAAAAAGAACGAGTAACCGGCGCTTTATTTTACTTTTAAATGGCAAAATGTGTCAACATTTAAGGTTTTGCATCGTCTGTCTTTAGAAACGCGATTGTTATTGAATAGACGTGGGACAATTGAATACGTCGTTAATTATACCATTTCGTATTGGAAAGAAAATGGACGATCAATTTCAAATAATGAATGCAGTAAAAAAATTAATGAAACACATTGGATTGTTCGAGATAAAATTGGATATCTGTTAACCACAATGTGAGTGGATTGGGGGGAAGTTCTTTAGCATCCATGCGGCACCTTCTTTCTTTTCTAGTGCACAATTGGAATTAATCAAATTGAAACGAGATAAAGATACAGAACAACAAACAGCAACACAAGCGAAAAGAAAAACAACGGTAAAGAAGAATTCGTTAATGTTTCTCTTTCCCGATGCGCATCCGTAACAACTGTATATTTTCTAGCAGCAACGAATGATCCAGATAGTGAAGGCAGCGATGATGATATTGATGCACTACCAACAACAAAACGACAACGACCAAAACAGTAACTAAGAATGTCAGCTTCAGAATGAAATAACATTTCTTTATGCTCTATTTAGAAACCCACTAAAAGATGATGTATCAGATATGAATGTTGTCACTTCGACTAAACGACGTCGTACATCGGCTGTTGTCCCCGCGCAGCCGGTAATCAACAATATCCAGCGTTAAGCGCTAGCGGGGACTCCTCATTAAAACAAAAAATACGGTAATAATACTATTTTCTCTATGAACTCTTTATTTCGTTCAAATTCTAAATAACATTTCTTTCTACTCTGTTTTAGAAATCCATTAAACGATCATTTATCATATGTATATGTTCTCAGTCCAAGTAAACGTTTACATTCTCCATATGTGAATCGATGAAAACAATACAACGTTTTGATTAAAAGACTAAGACCTGTTAGTTTTCTTGTTCATTGACATTTTGTTGTTTTGTGTGATATTTGTATAGAGTTGTGATTTTGGTTGTTATTTTATTGTGTTGCTTTTTGTTCTACATACTATTAGATTATTGTGATATTCAAATAAAAAATGCGTTTCATACTAACTCTTAATAGCTTGGAGCTGCATTACAAATTAATTAAATCTGGTTACCGATTTGGAATCATCTAGCTGAAAAGATCACTTAAAGCGAAATCAATAAAAACTCTTGTCGCTATAAAACTAAGAAAGACGGTATAAAAAATAACCACTTGTTTCGACACAATTCGACTTAGAACAGAGAGATTATTTTTGGAATGATATTATTTGCCCTTTTCTCTTTCGTATGAGCCATGTCGCCATTGCCTGAGATTCCATGTTGACTTGGCTCGATTAAATCGATCTCTCTATCAGCTTGTTTACACACCTAATGATGAGTTGACTTTTGTTTTCTAGATATGGAGTCATATGGTTTATCGCGTTATCTAAAATTCAGGTTATTTGAAGTGGAAGTCGAAGAACCAGTTAAAGATCCAACAACAAATCATATGATGAACAATGATAAAAAAATGAAAATCGTACTCTGGCTGTTGATCCCCGCGTAGTCAGAAAACAACAACATCAACCGTTAAGCGGTAGCAGGGATGCTTCGTATTCAGAACTTCCAGGAATAGGAACGGAAAAGACCAAATGTTTGAAGTTGTCACGGTTAGAGTACTGTCTTTTCTTGTAATCATTCAGTTTTGTTGCTCTTTGTATTGTAGGGAAACAGAAAAACTTAAAGATTCACTGTCAACAGAAGTCATTGGCAAACGAAAACGACATTGAGTTTTTACTGTTGTATTTTTGCTTAAATAACCCTTTTTTTTGGTTGTATATTTGTTATTATTGTTACAAATAAAAGTGCATCTAAGTGAAGAAAAGGACGTTTTACGAGAGCAAGGAGTAAACGATAGATGGGTCGGAAAATCGCTTTCATCATGCACGGATGAAGTTCGATTAATATTAACGTTTTATCACTTGCAAGGATATTATATCAATCACGTGGAACGTGAATATCGTGGTCGAGGTAGAACATTCAGCTATGTATTTCCAATATTGATTGTGTCTTGTTAATTTAGGGTATCGGATAAAGCATGAATACGAGCGACTGAAAAAGCCGTCGTATTTATTAACGTTGCTCGATAGTTACTCGCCGCAAGACGTTGTTAATCAAATTAAAAGCTTATCTTTACCGACCAAAATGAAAATGATCAACAAAATAAGGAGAAACGAAAACCTTTGTCACAGTCTGAATTAGCTGATCAATTGTTAAATGAACATAGAGTTAAGCTCGATGATTTTACAGGTAGGAGACGAGGCCAGCTAATAATATTACAGTTGAAATAGCTGTCTGAAAAAAAAGGCAGTTTTATTGTTAAACTACTTACTTTTTTGATTATTTAAGTGGCGACCGTAGTGTCGATTTCAAATATGAGAGTAAGAGCTTATCAGCGACCTTTGTGGAAATTTCAAGGTCCGCCAATAGTTTTCTGTGAACTATAAATTATGTATATGTGGAAGCCAGTCATGCAAAAAAGTTGAGGCACACATAAGGATCTTTCGTCGTGAGGGTGGTGTTGTTGGTTTTGGCATGTTGTGCATCAGAGAGAANATTAGCTGATCAATTGTTAAATGAACATAGAGTTAAGCTCGATGATTTTACAGGTAGGAGACGAGGCCAGCTAATAATATTACAGTTGAAATAGCTGTCTGAAAAAAAAGGCAGTTTTATTGTTAAAATGAAGAACAACTCTGACTATTTTGTTGATTTCCAAAATTATTCAGAAATGAACTGTACCTGTTATGTTGTTGTTAAAAAGAAAACGACTAAACCGTGTAATGGAAAAGTACGTTTTGAAACTCTTGTAGAAGAAAAACATTAACAAAATAGTGAGAGATGCTTTTCAAATATTTAGAAAAATATCACACATTCAGCTCAAGAATCGACAGAAGAAGCAGCAGAAGCACCACCTCCAAAAGTAAGTAAAATCTACGTCAGTAACAGATGATTGATTGCTTTACATGAACGCGAATAGCATTGTCTTATGTACAAAATAGTCATTCATCAATATTAGCACTAACTGGTTCGTTACCTCCACTTGTATCTCCAATTGTACCACAATCAATTTTTACAATGCACCCTGCTGTACAACAAATTTCTTCAAACGTAAGTGTCAAACCATACTTAGGCACAAAATGTACTTTGCATTGCGTTCACAACAAAATTTAAAAACAGATGAATGTACGTAACCTATGAACGTGAAAATTTAAGAGGTCTGTCAGGTAGGATCAAAATAAAACTGCAAAGTTGAGTTAAACACATCTTGAGTACACTCGGTTATCCAGTTCTAGAATCCACACTTTGGGATTTAATAAAATAGTTTCTGGAGGATCTTTTCGCAGCTACTTAAACTCTCAAAAGCCGCACTTTTCCAGAAATTTTTACATTTCGGTAAAATTATTCCGGACTTTCTCATGAATGAGAGGAAGTCCAAATAACAGAGAAGTGCTTAAACGAAGAGGTTGCAACTTAAAAGTCAGAGCCTAGAGGTTATCCACCATGCCAAATCTAATATCAGTTTTCTTTAATTTTGACTTTCATAATGGGATTCTGGAAAACCTTAAGTTATTGAGATATAAATTTGGCAACCTCATACATTTGAACTACATAGTTTAGGAAGTTCAAAATCAAAACAAAAAAATTTTAACTTTCCAGGTCTTGCTACAAGATAAGATCTCCAGAAAATCTTGGTTTGTCAGTGAAAAACCTCTCAAAATATCGAAAAACAAAAAATTTTTTATCGAAATAAGTTTCTAGATAGAGTACAATATGCTATGTTGGATGAGAGCATTGAATAAAAATTTCATAATCTCGTAGAATTTTTTATAAGAATGTTCCCAAGACCTTTAAGCTCAAAATCCAGGTTTTACAGAGTCCCATTATGAAAGTCAAAATTAAAGAAAACTGATATTAGATTTGGCATGGTGGATAACCTCTAGGCTCTGACTTTTAAGTTGCAACCTCTTCGTTTAAGCACTTCTCTGTTATTTGGAATTCTTCTCATTGCGCAGCCATAGTAAAGTTTTTCTACAGACAGGATTTTTTTCGCTTCTGATAATTTGCTAAGTGCTCCATAATAACTCTAATTATTGAAACATGTGTATCTCTTTTCATTATCACCGCAACATTTTTCTCCTCATAAAAGACAGTGCAGATCTACATCTTTTTTGTTAGAAAGCGAAAATAAAAACGCGTTTTCTGATACGCGCGTTCTGACTTTTAGTATTGAATTTACCAACACATACCAGATTTCTTGAGACTTTTTCCTCATTTTCACGATATAAGATGATTAAAGAAAGAATCAAACAATTCGCTCTAACTCCAGGAATCTACTTTGATCTCAAACTACTGAAGATTGTTGTCATTTCATTCGAAAAATCTTTTCAAATAGTGTAACGGTTTGCTTGAGTAAATCTTTCATCCACAATTCGTGAAAGCAGGATAGAAAGGGCTTATAATCTTTTCAGAACTTTTACATGCTTATCCTTACGATACATAATTGCTGAACATTATAAAACGGTAGTGAAATCAGGAGGGTGTATGGCCTTTATGTCACTACTCTTTCAACGAATATACTCAATTGTCATTTCAAAGGAACTGTATTCGCCGCATTATCCTTTCGCCACCGTATTCTTCTAACACTCAGTCTGTTAGGCTTGTACCGGCAGTTACCACTATTCCTCCAACACAACCAACCACGCGTTTATTACAATCACCAGCAACTCCTATTCAACCTATGCAACCGACAATATTCCACCTGTTCCAAAAAAAATTAATTCTCTTGATCAATTTCCTAACAACATTTTCTTGCTTACATGTCTTTCTGCTAACTTTTACATGCTTGTCTTTCTACTAATTTTTAGATTATTGTCCTTGTTCTAATTTTTGTCTATATGTTTTTCTGCTAGCTTTTACATACTTGTCTTTATACTAATCTTTTCTGTCAGTCTCATAAACTCATCTTCCTTCTTGTTAGCGGCTCTCTCTCTCTCTCTCGATTTCGCCACTAACGCTAGACACTTGTTATCACTGTCTGTCAGTTGTTGGTCTTCTTTCCATTTCTAGTCACTCTCTCTCGTTGTTAGTAGATTCTCTTTTATGTATATATGATTGTGTTTTTATTCATGCTATTCGTGCTATCATTCAAATATATCGTTAAACAGAGCGGAGTGTTTAGTCATGCTTGCACATACACATAGGAATCAGGTATAGTCTAACACTTCTTCATCTGAAAAAGTCATTAATTCCACTGCATCTGTTTCGACATTCCTTTACAAGTCACTTTCCACCATGGAGGATCAGATTTTGATTGAAATTATATTCCTTTTGTCGAAGACACTTTCGACACTGCATGATGAGATGTTTTGTGGCTAAGTAGGTGTTTTTAAGGGTGTAGAAGATATTGACTAAAACTTGATGATTGAATAAAGTTTTTCAGTATCGATGCGTGCTGTTTTTGGTAATATAATTCACTTTGAGCATATAACAGATATCGTCCCGATTCGTCGACAAATCGGACACTTCAGAGAATATACATCAAAGAATTTCAAAGGCGGGAGGGGCGGTGTGAGAGTGAGTGTCGACGAATCGGGACTGAATCATTTTTATATAAGCGACTTGTGAAGAACTAAGCCAATGAGATAAGATGTCTTTTTCTTTTTTCTTTTTTTAGCTACATTCGACCCTAGATGATTATACGGCCACGGCTGAATGACGTCATCGTCTAGTCGTCTCGCTTGGGGCAAGTTTTTGCCGGCCCAAACATATCGGAAAAAAATCGCATCTAATTATTACCCATTCAAAATAAATTTGGGTGTCGGGAAATTCAATAAAAAATTCAATGCATAATTGCTCAGAAAAAGACACAAGCCAGTCGCTGTTTTCCATACTTTATCCCCAACATAAAGTATAACCAGTGTTTCTAACATTATGCATACGCTTTTGTTCCAAAGCGTACGGTACGCGAACTAAATTGAAAATACGTTTTGATGTACGCTTTGTGCTTGATTCCGGAGCGTACACAGTACGCTGTGGGAAAAAAATACGCTTTGAGTTTTGTAAGGGTTTAAAGAAAAAAAATAGCATGTGACTACTTGCTTTTAAGCGGTTTATTTTTAGATAGCAAATGAACTGAAAACACCGAAAAAGCCGTTTAAAACACAGGATAGTTTTACGTTTCCTCTCCTACTTAATTAGGTTTCTTATTTCTGTGCAGTTCAATTCATTAGTGTCAGATAGAATATGTGAGTAAATAGATCATTCCTTCTGGAATAACTGTGATTAGTCTGTATTTGTTTTGTTACTTGCTTTTCTTTTTTTTGTATTTGAACTTGATTTTATTAAAACAGAATAATGAATAAGAATCTTTTTTTCTGCCTTGTTATAATAGGCATATTTTATGACTTTATACGCTTTGCATTTAATTCCAAAGCGTACACGTACGCTCTGTGGTCAATTACAAAGCGTATATGTACGTTTTCTGGCAGATTCTCATTCGAAACC